CACCCAGCGTGAGTTTTAAGCCACCAGGTCCGGGACGTGAACCGCGGTCGACTACGTGGGAGTCCAGCAACAAAGCCATTACGCTAACTGCTGGTCCCTATGTGTATATTTTTTAAGAATTATTTTATTTAGATTTATTTTATTAAAATAATTTATTTTATTAAAAAAACAGTCCCTGGAGGGATGGCTACGCCACAATTCCTTCTCCTCCACTCTTCTCTCGGGATTTTGGGCATGAACATATGCACACAACATGAGTTTAAACCACTGGACCCAGGACTTAAATCGCAATTTACCACATGGGATTCCAGTGATGTAACCATTCCGCCACCTACTGGTTCTTACCAGTTGTTTCTTACATCCATACCTGGCATCTTACTGTGTCCTCAGTCTTAAATGCCTTTCCTATCTTGAGTGGTTTCACTGTTAGCTCAAGAGGTACCTCTTGCAGAAAGTTTTTGGAACCAGCAGATGGCTTAATGATTATGTTGCTGGACGACCACGTAGTCGATCATAGTTCAAGTCCTATACTCAACGGCTTAAAACTCATGCTGGGAACATGTGTATGTGTGCCCAAAATCCCAAGAGGAAAATGGAGAAGGAACAGTGTAGCCATCCCTGCTGGGGGTTGATTTCTCGCTTTCTGTCTCTCTCTCTGGCGAGTGCATGAACCCTTTGGCAAAAATCTCTCTCAAAAAAAAAAAAACAAAAAAAGAAAAAGCATCAAATCATGATAAGAGATCTGTACTTTCTAAAGACAGCAGAAATACATGTATGAGGTAACTCAAAGAACAAGTATTTCACAAAGCTCTAGTAAGACATATTTAGTGTTCAAAAGACATAAACTGGGAACCAGCAGTTAGCGTAATGGCTATGTCGCTGGACTCCCACATAGTCGACCGCGGTTCAGTAAGACAAATTTAGTGTTCAAAAGACATAAACTATCTTAATTAGACACACTCCTAGAAACTAACTTGTGGCTTTTGTTACTTTTTAGCTTACTTGCTTTCCATATAAGCTAAATGATTATGATAATTCAGTTTACATGGCAGTTTACAATGCCATTGGGAGTAAGTGATCAACTCTCCTAGTCAGTATTTAGTTAATGTGTCTTCCTTCCCTCCAAAGAGTGCAGTCTCTTTCAATTTCTCTTTCTCTAGGGCTTTGCATGGAATTTTCCTCTCCTGTTCATCCTGATGGTGTAATACATGATCACGCGTTTGTTGTTTTTCTCTGGGTCATGTGGGTACTTCTATTTCCTTCTTTTTTATATTTTTTGTCATAGCCTCTTAACAAGATTCTCTCCAGGATCCCTCTGATCTCTGTGATAATAGGAAAGCATTGAAGTGACCAAAAGGATGACAATGAGAGAGGGAGTGAAAAAAAAAATCCTGAAAGCAGCTGAGAGCCCTTAGTTCTAACAATCTCTATGGAAACAATGCCACAGGGATTGATCTGGTAATTGTTCTGTAGGGGATCAGTGGAGTAGTTATGAGCCAATCTCACCAAGCTTTACTCAAAGGATTCAACTTTCAAATGGTAATAGTAGGCAGATTTTTTTTTTTTGAGAAAAATAATTAAATAGGAAGCCAAATAAAAATTACATTTACCACTATACAGTATTTTTTTTTTAACTCAAAGCTTCCTATAATAGTAAAAAGGAAAAACAAATACACAAATTTCAAGTCCTTCCTAATGTAAAGACAGGAGTCCTTCCACTGGAAAAGGCAAAGGCAAAGAGTACTTAACATAAATAAAGGCAAAAGAAAAACAGACATTGCAGTTCAGTGGTGAAAAGTCATTCACATCGTTAGAATGATTTTAGGACTGTGGCCCACATCACACAAAGTATGCGGAAAGAATACCAAAATCAGTAAAAAGATTGAATTCAAGCAAGGGTTGAAAAGGATTACAAAACTTTATCAACCAAATCATGTTGAAAGACTGAAAAGATAAAAGTAGCCCTGTAACTTGAACCCAGGGAAGAAAGACACTGGAAAGAACTCCACTTGAAGTAAGGGAGCTTGGAGTCTTACTAATAAAGCTTTTTTTTTTTTTTAAAGGGGGGAGGGGGAGGAGAGGGCTCAAAGTGTTCTGAATCCAGGACTACCAAATTTCAGGCCTGTTCAAAAGTCTCCAGCCTGGGACCAGCAGTTGGTGTAATGGATGTGTCGCTGGACTCCCATGTAGTCGAGACCATGGTTCAAGTCCCAGACCTGGTGGTTTAAACTCACGCTGGGAGCATGGGAGCATGTGCCTGTGTACCCAAGATCCCCGAGAGAATGGAGAAGGGATTGCTCTGTGGCCATCCCCCCTCCCTGTGTGTGTGTTTGGGGGGGGGTGGAATTTCTCACTTTCTGTCTCTCTCTGTCTTTCTGGCCAGCGCACGTGCAAAAAACCTCTCCAAAAAAAGTCTCCAGCCAGTAAACGAGTAACCACAAAATGATAACCACAAACTAGTAACTCTCCAGATGATTAACTCCAGTGTTTTTAGGACAAGTATCTCCAATTTGCCTAAAATGATGTCTGTTCCCTTAGCACATGAAGAAGTTCATTGTAAACTGAGGAAAGTTCATAGTTAACAGATCCTGACCTTTGAAGTAAAACTGTCTGAACTCACTTTCGGCTTTGCCACTCAGCTGTGTGACCTTGGGAAACGTTTTATTTCTATAGAACTCAGACACCTCATTTGTGAAATGAAGATAATTATTTTTCAGGGTTGTAAAGAGCTAGTGAACTGAGTAGTGTCTAGCCCAAACCTGCTCTCAAGGAAGTATCCTAGTTTTGTTTTTCTGTGGCTTTTAATAATAGAAACTTCCTTCCTCCCCCAGGGGTATTTTGAGAGAGTGGGCTCAAGAATGATAGGAAGGGGACCAGCAGTTAGCGTAATGGCTATGTCGCTGGACTTCCACGTAGTCGACCGCGGTTCAAGTCCTGGACCTGGTGGCTTAAGAAACTCACGCCGGGCGCGTGCGTGCATGCCCCCAGATCCCAAGAGGAGAATGGAGGAGAAGGTATTGCTGCACGGCCATGCCTCCTGGGGGGTGATTTCTCACTTTCTGTCTCTATGTCGGTTTCTGTCTGGCGAGTGCACACAACCTATAGGAAAAACCTCTCCAAAAAAAAAAAAAAATGATAGTAAGACACTATAACCCAGGCAATTCTTACCGCCTATTAAGCAGGCTTTCTAATCAATTAAAGTCAAGAAACCTAAGTTTCTGTTACATGAAGGGAACTGGCCTTCTGTCTCCATCCTTTCACTGCAGAGCTCATGGGGGGGGGGGGATTC